CCTTTTTTGTCCCCCGAAAAAGGATAAGGAAAAAACAGTAATCTGCCTCCATTATCTTTTTCTTAGTGACTCCACCTTTCTGTATTAGATCAATTAACTGAGGATTGTTCAAGTAAATACTAGAAATGCTTCAGAATAAAATCTACAACAGTGTGACTTTGCTGGTAAAATTTTTCCTCAAGTCTGCCCCCTTGTGTGTGTGTATGTGTGTCTGTGCGCGCACGTGTGTGTATGTGTGTGTAGAAAGAGAGAGAGACATACAGAGTCCCCCAATACTCTGAAGTAGATTTTGAGGGGCACAAATACTCCAGGAAAAATGGAAAAGTGGCATTTCTATACAGTACTCCACATGAAAATGACTTTAGTGCAATTTTCAGGTATTATCACAGTTTTTCCAAAAACGAAAAAGCTGTTTTCAAATCTTAATTCTATTCAACTATCTGAGGCGTATTTCTTGTTATTCAAAGTATCTGGAAAGCACCTGAGGAAGAGAAACAGATTTGAATTGATGAGAATGCCATTGCAAATGAATGGAAAAAATGTATTGGATTGGTTTAAATATGAAATCAATGTATATTTGATGTGATCAATGTAAATATCAATGTGATATTTAAACAGATCATATCATAGTATTTATAAATTTGCATATATACTAATAAGTTAACATCTCATTTTATACAATGATGTACTGCTTTGCGGGGAGGAAGACTGCATTTTCTTTCTTTTTTTTTTAGCAACATATAAGAGATTACCCTATATGCTTGCAAATCACTAGGTTCCGGTATTCCTTCCTGTAAATTATTGACATGCATAGAAAGCCTCTGACATCCTGGGTAGTAAGGAATTTTCCCTAGAAATATTATTGCTAGCACTGAGTAATGACCTGAATACAGAACTAAGATTTAAGTTAAATTAATGAATAAATAGAAGTTGGAGATAAAAACTGTATATAGGATCTTGGAACACTGTGTACAACTTAACAAATGTAGAAATCCAAGGAGAAAAAAATCTGCATATTATTTGATAGATACATAAAATTAGTGAATAAATGGGGTACAGTCTTCTTGAAATAAAGTGAGGAACTTTTCTGTTTAAAATTTAGATTCTCCTAATATTTATTGCTTGCAATGTACTATAAATAAGTTCTAAATCAGTATACAAGGTCTTGTATAGATTTTTATTTTCTTCTTTTGTGCATCAAACATACATAAAATATGCAGACTCCATGAAATTCTCTGCAAGCAGCTAAGCTGTTTCAACCTAATCCCCTCCAAAGATTTGAGACTGTAACATCTAGAATTCTCAGCTGGAGTACCAAGACATCTCTAGAAAAAACTGGCATAATGAATTTATTGTGATTCCGCCATTCCGCCATTTAGGCTTGCTCAGAAAATGGCAAGCATAATTGTTCTATATTAGATAAATGCTACTAATCTAGGGGAACATGTATAGTAATAAATATTGTAATGGTACAGTAAGAAGGAAGATTTTAATATTAGAAAAGATGAAGTCCAATTGTATATTTAAAAAAAAATCGTAAGAAGAAAAACAGTTACATACTGGAAACAAGTACCAAGACAAGTCATGGTCTCCTCTGCTTTGCATGTGTTCAAGCAGAATATGCACAGGATCCCCATCTGTTGGGGACACTTTAATTTGCATTCATACTTTGAGCAGAAATTCACTAGCCTAAATGGCCTTTTTCCCATTTTTTGCTTCTAAGTCTTTTTCATTGCTACCCTTTGAATCAAAATGTAATTTGTCATAAAGAGCATCTAAGCATTTTTTTAAAATATCATGAAGAAATAGATGGGCTAATCTACACAGATGGAATAAAACTCAGTTATATATAACCCTAACCTTTTCTAGCCCAAGACATATTCCTTAAATAGAAAAAAAAATCCTTTTAAAATAATAGGACAGTGAAAATTCTCCCACCTATTTCTCCCCCCATCCCCCCCCACACATCATCACAAACTTCAATACTTCCAGCAAGAAAAAAACTGAGAAAGTTTTCTTTTTTCAACAATCATATGCTATTGAGATTATAATTTTTCTGTTGAATAAATGGGTGAATGAGCAAATTAAAGCTGTTTTGATGGCCTAATAAAAATGTCAGATAAAAGTACTATATAACCAGACTTAATACCATTATAAGTTCATCAAAATGTAACCATGTGGGCTATTGTAGCTTTTAAAAAATTGTTATCACATAAGAAAGAGTTGGTCCTGGGACAACCTTAAGCAAAGCTATTTATGTTCATGTCTGTAAATAAGCTCATTCTGGTACCAAAGTCTGGAGTTCCCTCCTCAAAAATGAGCTTTGAATGGCAATTGTGCTTTAAATCAGCCTCTGACGTTATTACTGGACACTGTTTTAAAGCCTGATTGCAATGTAGTGAGTAATTCTAATGCATTTTGAATATTCCTAAACTTTTTTTAATACTTCATTAATCAAGTTATTAAGACAACTGTTGAACTATGATGTCTTTGAACTGTTGAGAGACCTAGAATTAGTCAATGTAACCTAATGGCCTGGACTAACACATACAGCACAGAGGTTGAATTAAAAGGTTGTGAGAAGTTGGCTTTTGAGGAGGGAGAAAAAGAAGGATGAAAAAAAAAACAAGCTGATGGCTGAGAGAAAACAAAAAGCAAAAGAAACTGCTTATTGACTTCTCTGCTTGGACCAGTAAAAGTCTCCCAACCCCTCAAAGAGGCCTAGCTTTGTAACAGCTAATGTCCCTACCAGAGAATTGAGCCCTTCACCCAAACAGGAATGCCGGGTGGGAAGAAAGGGAGCTGGTAACTGTAAAAGGACTATGCAAACCTCAGCTAAGGCTGGCATTTCAGATTTGCCTGTTAGGGAGAGAAAGAGTAAAAGGACATAAACTGCTCCTACAAAGATGAGTTAACTCTTAAGCTGAACATTATAGTTTGATGTTCTAGTTTGAAAGACTGAAGCTTCAAAGAAGACTGTTTTAAAGCTGTTTCCCTGAGAGCTTAAAGGGGCAGGTGTGAATGCATTTAATCAAATTCTCTACTACTCTGGTGTGTCTAGAGATTGTCTTCTGACATTTGCAACTATCTGTCTGCTCCCTACCTCATTATATCAGGGGTTCACTGTTACACGTAGCATGCATTGGTATTACCACTTTGGAAAGCTCACATGCAGTCAGTCTGTCTTCAGAGAGCATTTCACACTTCATTACATGTGCCAGGCTTCTTTGTTATGTACAGAGATAGGCCTAAGAGAAAAAGCAAATGGAAAGCTCTTCACTTAGCACATTTGTTAATGCCAACGTTGGCTTGGCAACTTTCATGTAACCTAGGATCCCCAGTCCTTGTTTGACTGAATCCTTTACCTACTGAAGCAATAGAGAGTGTTACTTGCTTGGCATTAACTAAGGCGTTGTACAATAGATTATTGGAAGCACTGATTTATTGGAATGGCTTTATCTGTGCCCCGGGTGATCATAAATGGATTGTCAATAGGGATCCTTTTTGTGTAGGTGGCATTCAGTTTTAGCCAGGAATCTACTACCCTGGGCAACAATTTGAAAGTTATCTTTTGCCATGAAGAATCTTGTGTTTAATGTATTTAAGAAAAGAACTAACATTGACTACAATCATTAATAGAAGTAGCAGATTAATGTACTTACAAAGTAGATTCCATAAATGTTTTTTTCTTACAAAATACTGGCACAACTTGAACTTTATACATTGGTTTCTTCCTCTTCAGATTCAAAGTGATAGTAATGTTAATCTGTTTGATATACCAAAATACCAAGGCTCTTCTTGCATCACAAAGACAACAAATAGATTATGGGTTTTATGTTTTTCTAAACCAGAGCCCATTTATAAGACCATAGCATGTCATTCTGAACTGGCGTGTGTATTTACATATAGGTATAATGAGAAGGAAAATGGTAGTGAGGAAGTGTATTTGCCTTTGAATCAGTTTCATTGACTCCTGGCGATTGCCTGGACAAGTCCTTGAGGTTTTCTTGACAAGGTTTTTCAGAAGTGGTTTGCCATTGCTCCTTCCTAGGGCTTTGAGAGAGAGTGACTGGCCCAAGTTGACTTCATGCCTAAGGCAGAACTAAAACTCATGGTCTCCCAGTTTCTAGCCTGATGCCTTAACCACTACAACAAACTGGCTGTCTATAGTGAGTGAGTACATGTTCAAATTGTGATTTGATTTTAAAAAAAGGTTTGGTCTTGTTGAGTATTGTCTTTTTTTAACAATCTTCACTGTTACCTTGCTGCGAACTGACAGACTTCTCCATTTAGTTGCTAAAAGAAATTAATCAAACAAATCAAGACAGACAATATATTCCTCTTTTTCTGCGACTTTAATCTGCAACCGAGCCCTAAAATTCAAAGTCTTTGAACTACCAGCAACTGTGAGCCTTTCCATGTTAGTAACTCTCAGCTGAAACACAGAATATCTTTTCTTCAAATTTGCTCCTTTTTTCTCTTCTGTTATTCTTGCATTGACTTCCAAATGCTTTCTGTAGGAAATCTTTATTTTCCACTCCGTGCATTGCTAGATAAAAGTTGGCAATAATTCAGTATTTCCTATTAGTACCCAATTCACCAATACAGTCAACCTCATATTTGTTTCTCAAATTTGTGTATATAGACTTCCACCTTTTAAAATACACTCTACTTTCTTCTCCAGTTGGCTTAAACACCAGCCTTCTGTTCAGCCAGTAGAACTCTTAACAGGGCTTTCTTACAGATAAATTATGGGTATAATATTGCAGCTGTTTTTGTATATTATTCATTCATAAGGCTTTTACTCTACCTGCTGGCCCAACTTTTTATTATGTCATGGAAGGTGGCATAAGGTTTCATTTCTTGAAGCCAGGCAAAACTGAGAGTTTTTGATGGAGTAATATGAATATTGTATTTATTATTCTCTGGCTGCTCTATGAATAAGCGTCTTGGTCACCTCCACTGTCATTTTTATTTTTTTAGCATTCCATCATCTTTAGAATTTACCTGTCTTCCTCAGTCTGGTGCCCACCATATCTCCTAGGATTGTGACGTTCGGGTTGGGCAAGGCTGTGCTTCACAGTCCATAACAGCTGTATATCTATCCTATTTTCTTCTGTAATTAATGGTTGGCACTCCTTGTTTCAAATTCCTGCTCCATGACTATATTATCTAAATACACTACCTGCTAAAGAAACTTCCTCCCTTTTTCTCTTGGTCTAAAAATTTGCCCTTCAGGCAACATAAATGAAATAAAAATTCCCCATTCAGTCATTTTAAGAACTATGGAAAGATTAATGTTATGCTATTAGGAAGAGGTACCCAACATAATGGAGGACACCAGGTTAAGGAAAAGTGACTTATGAATGCTTGCTTTTCCCATTCTTATGTTTGGGTAAGCAAGAGAAGGTAGAGAGGAAAGTAACTCCACCCCGAGTGTACATGTTTCCAAAAGCAGCCAGTTTCTTAGCCACCTCTCTCAATTTAATTGATCTGGCTGAGATTTGTTTTGACCACCGTTTCCATCATTCACCCTAGCCAAAAAAGGGGTAGTTCCTTTTCTGTGTAGATTAAATACATTGCCTTACCCTGCCAGTTTTCACTTGGCTCCAGAACAACAACAACAACAAAGTTAGTTATCACATTTCTTCTCAATACTTTTTTTTTAAAAAAGACTTTTTTTAAAATGTTGCAGTTTACACAAAATGAAATGCCTTTTAAAGAATCAGCATGTTGCTATGCTTCAGGTTGCTAGGATCTCAGTGTGTTTGGAAATAAATCCAAGGCATGCCGTCTACTTGCTCCTTATAGCTTAGGGACCTGAAGGTCTCTGGTCAGTGCTGACATTTAGAAGCTCGCGCCGAAGCTTGTGGCTTGTTTTGTAGTTCCAGTACAGGAGTGGCAAATAACTTACATCATTTCCAGTACAAGAGCCTGAAGCTTCCTTCTCACCTTTCTGCCCCGCACCCCGCCCACTTACGGTTTGTTTTCTGTCTGCTTCTGAACTTCATACACTCACATAACTTCAGGAAGTAAAGGATTGCATTATCTGATTTCAAAAAGCCTTGCTTTTGTACCTTTCTCGTCCCTGTCTTCTTGTCTTAATATATAACGTTGATTAGATGTTGTTTTAACTGAAGCATTTTTGACAAACACGGAAGTATTTACAAGAATCGCTTTTTAATATTTGTGGGTGGATGTGTGTGTGTGTGTGTGTGTTCACAGTATATTTCATATAGTGAGAAGGCAAATTCATTGCTCTGCTTTGGGAAAAGATAATAGGAAGATTGATAAGAGAGTATATACTGATTATGAAAAGTTCAATATTTTCTTTTGGGAGTTTGGGCAAACATGAAACTGGAAATGGAAGGAGATTCTAAAGAGAGTATTGGTCAGTGGAAAACAAAAATGAGTTCCTGTCAACTTCTGAACTTATACTTTCAGTCGCAAATAAGTAAATACATGTCTGAAAATTAAACATTAACTCTTATTTGTAATACCTGCCTAATTTATACCAATTTGCATTGTCTTTTTGTATATATAACTTACCTCATCCATAACATGAAATTATGTTACGGATAATAATATAAGTTATTATACTAACATATAGTATATTACTGGTAGACCTCAGCTTACAACAGCAATTGGGACCCTGACTGCCATCACTAAGCGACACAGTCATAAAGCGTGATGTCACGTGACTGTGCCACTTAGCAGCAGCAATTTTGGCAGTCCCAGTGCCATCGTCAAGCAAGAACCACATGGGTCATTAAGAGAGGACATCATGTGACTGCGACTTCCTGCTGGCTTCTCCATTGACTTTGCCTGTGGGAAGCCAGCAGGGAATGTTGAAAATCGTAATCACATGAACATGGCTTGCTGTGACATCCTAATTACAAGCCAGGCACTGAGTGCCTGGATCACAATCACATGACCACAAGGACACTGTGATGGCCAAAATTCCAAAGATTGGTCATAAGTACCACTTATAACTTTTATAAGTTTATAACTTTTATAAGTTTTATAAGTGCCATCATAACTTTGAATGATCGCTGAACAAATGATCATAAGCCAAGGACTACTTGTATTATATTAACACATATAACTTAACATGTAAGTCCAAAAAAGAGTTTAAGTTATTTTTAATACTTAATGACAAGTATCCAAGAATTCTGAAATATAAATTAAAGTGTTCATGTAAGTATAAGCAGAAATTATATCACTTACATGCTTATATTAACTTTCATTTATTTTGAACTCATTAATAGAAAATTAAAATCTATATCCATCATTGTTCAGGGGAGTGCAAATATAAGCAAATTTGTATAAAAATAAAATATTTTCCTTTGCTTAATTACCTCTTGATACCAAATTGTTTAAGAAGCAGAAATATGTATTTGAATTTGAGGTATTAATCCCAGAATGGTTCAATGACCTTGAATAGAACAGAATAGAATAGAATAGAATAAACAGAAAATTCTATAATTCGATTACATTCTATGCAAGTAGCACAGAAGTCTACAGTTAAAATTATATGATAAAATGCCTTCTGCCTCCTGATTACAGTTAGTAATAAGGGATGTTGTCTTATTTGAATGGGATTAACTACTTTATCAGTGTGATATACTGTAATTGTGTAGTTGTAATTTTTGTCTTTCATAATATTTTGCCTTCCCTCTGAAAATTTCCTAAAAGTTATCAATATATTCTAATATAAAATAGCTACTGTGTAATTACATACAAATAAACATATGATACATGTGATTCATTCAAAAATAGTCAATAAGTTGGTAGAAAATAGATTGATGTAACAAATGAACCTGAAACGTTCAAAGTAGATTTCTGTGGCAAGAGTCATCAAACTACTTAGTCATGTTAAAAGATACATTTCAAAAGATTTTTAAAATTTGTACCTTTTTTCTTCCATTTCTAATAACATTGTACATACAAATATGTACTAAACCAACGAAGTACTAACTCTCTGATCCTAAACATAGTTAAACAATGCCATTTTTATAAAGGTTTTATGAGGCTTCTTTCTGTCTTTTCTGACCTTGGTCACACAGTTTTACTGAGTTTATGGTAGAAAGTTTTCCACTCCGGTGGAAACAAATTCTTGTTCTGTATTTATGAAAAAAGAAGAGTGCTAGTTACATATATGCTACCTACATCTATATGTGTTTGCATTTTAATAGTTTCCTCTTGCATTACAACCTATAAGAAGACACCACCTCCTGTCCCACCAAGAACCACCACCAAACCTTTTATCTCCATCACAGCCCAGAGCAGCACAGAATCTGCCCAAGATGCCTACATGGATGGACACGGACCAAGGGGAGATATCAGTCAGTCAGGACTTAGCAATTCTACGGAAAGCTTGGACAGTATGAAGGCACTCACTGCTGCTATTGAAGCAGCTAACGCACAGATCCATGGTCCTGCCAGTCAACATATGGGCAACAACACAGCTACTGTTACCACCACTACCACCATTGCGACAGTAACTGCAGATGACAGAAAGAGAGATCATTTCAAGAAAAACAGATGTCTGTCCATTGGAATACAGGTATAAACAAAATAAGGGACTATATTACAGATCAATATCTTAACTGGCACTGGGAGTCATTTTTCAATCTTTCAAACAGTCCAGTCATTAATCTCTTGGGTCTGATAGCTCCTCTGTTTTACTTTGGTTTAGATAACACAAATGGCAATTAGAATCCCCTTTAAGCCCTTCAGGTTTCATTCATTAGATGTAAGGATTTACTGAAGCTTCTGGCTGTTTAATGTATTCTTCTTATTTGAATGAGCACACAGAAACTTAAACCTCTGATTCATAACCCTGCAGGAGTCAGGAAACCATGAATGAAATCACTGAAAGAGAATGTGTAAAGCAGTGATTTACACTGCACTATCACCAGAGACATGTTTTCTGCCAGTTTAGCTGAATTGTCACTGCTTATTCATGCATCACATGTTACTCACTTCAGTGCAGCAGCTTTGTTCTATTTAGCTGTTAAATCAGCAGGGAGGGCACAAGGATGATCTGTCTGATTCACCCTTGCTTAAATAAACTATACTTTGAGTTTATTCAAACAGATGAGAAACTAACTTTTTCTTTAAGATGGCAAACTTCACCAAGGGATGAAGTATTTACCTGAGTGATCCTCTACCTCTGTGTCGTGAAGCTAAGTGCCCTTTCCAGTTGAAATACAGGTCCAGAGCAGTGTACAAGATCAATAATGGAACAATCCTTGCCCACGGGCTCACAATCTTAAAGACTCAGCACAAAAGAAAAATAAATTCAGTGTTGTTACAAGATGGTTCTGGAATCTACAGAGCAGACAGAACTATTGTAGAGGCTTTAGGAAGGTCTCTGAACAAGGAGAAACGGGACCAGCCTAGCAAGTGGTAGCAGTTCATCTTGTAGTCTGATGTTGTTTCTGTTATTGCATTTTATCCACTCTTTGTCTAAGCAACTGAGGATGGCATATATGAGTCTCTTTCCTCCAATTTGATTCTTGCAACAGGTTTCTGATTAAGCTCAAGTGAGTTTGGTGGCTGAGCAGAGGTTTTCATCCATTTCCCCAGTTTTAATCTGACTCCCTAAAAACACCAGTAGAATTCTCTCATTTGTCACTCCCTACACACACAGATTAGATTTTTATTACATCTGGCAGAGCAAGAAATTTAACAAATAAAACTTAACTAAAGCCCAGGCCAAGAAAGAATATAAATCAGATATGTAGTTCCTTTTTACACCAGAGCTACAGTTACTATTATTTGCTCTACTTAGAATTAAGGCAGATATGCAGTATATTATTTGTTATCTTACTATTTATCTTCAGAACGTTGCTTTTTAAATAAATGACCAATCATAGCTGGGCAGGCTGTTAACAATACAAATAACCACTTTTTTGCAATGTGGTAAATATGCTATTAAGCTGGCATGCACAGAAATTTAGGAAGGACTGAGTGTTGTCAAACAACAATCAAGCCACCTAAGGCTATAGTTTAATTGTGTGGAAAGAAAAGAGAGGAGGAAAGGAAGCAGATATATTATTTCTAATTTCAATTTTTTAAATTAAGGACACAAAGGTAGGAAGAGGAATTACAGTAAAGGTAGCAAGATCTTGGAAAGTACAGCAGAAAAACCTGTTGTAACTCTTTCCCTGATACCTCACACTGTTAATGTATGCTTTTACTCCTTTTTCTTATTTGGAATTTGAATTTCATATTCTAGTGAAGTTCTCCAGAGAAGAAGGTGTTGTATCATCAATGTTTCTGCTCAACTAGAGGTTTGTCCAAAGAAACAAATTCTAATACATTTCCAAGAAATGTAATATTCAGTAGATACATGAGCATACAATAAGCGACATTTGAAAAATTGACCTTACAATGAAGCTAATCACACATTAACCCTAAAAAAATGAATAAGCAGAGTAATAAACAACCCAGAATTAATTATTTTTTAATTTATATGCTGCCTTTCCTCCAAAAAGTTCAAGGAAGCATAAGTAGTAATTTCTCCCAACAAATCTACAAAAAGGTTAAACTGAGAGGTGGTAGCTGGCCCAAAATCATCCAATAAGCTTTTAAGGGTCCCGAACTGGTCTCCAGCACTCCACTGTTATATTACATTGATTCTCACTCTTCTCATCCTGGATATAGTGGCTTGTATCCAATAGAGTGATCTCCATTTTTAATCAATTGTATACTACAGCCAAACTCATCTACTATATGACTGTCATTCTAGAACATTTTCTGATCTTCAGGTGTGGCTTTGTGAAGAACAGGGAACCACAGAGCTGCATCTGAAGAGAAGAATAGAACAAAAATCTCTTCTACTCCTGAGACAGTTCTTGTTATTTTTAGGATCTAAATCACTGTACAAGAGATAAATCACTTTCAGAAAGGTAACTAATAGTGTATATCCTCTTTAAAGAAAAATGTTTCATTGTCCACAGTTCATATTCTAAATACACTTATGGATTAGTTAAACAGATGCACTGTTACATTTTATTTATTTTATTTTCAGTTACAGTGAACCCCATGTACCCTCTAATGATAATAGAGTTTCTATGCTTTTAAGCTCCTGCTGCAGGTTCTGCACCGTAAGTTACACACTCTCTGACAAAATTTAGACAAGATAGAGATAGTGCATGAAACAAATTGATCCATTTTCTAAATAAAATATCATGGAAATCTTGTTGAAGGTTTGCAACAACTTCATCCTGTCTTATATAGGAGCTTTAAACAGAACATCAGTAATGAGAAGAAGAACCAAACTGGTAAGATACGGTTTTAAAAAACCACACCCTCAAATAATGTTACACATTGCCTTTCATTCTATTTCAATTTGATTGTTCTGTCAGGTTGATGGTGGAGAGGAATCCTCTAGCTCCAGTGAGTCCAGAGTGTGCAGTAAGTTCCAATCCATAGGTGTTCAAGTAGAGGAGGAGAAATGGTAAGCAAATATTAATGTTATATTCTAAAGTATGTTATCAGTAGTTTGTAGCTATATTGATGATGGTAAAACAACAGCAACAAGAACCCTTCATGAACTACTGAGAAGCCCAGGCTCTATCTCTGGGTTCCATGTGGATTTTCTTCATATCTTTCCCTTATTTCAGGCCAGTGTATAGAATACAAATGTCTCCACAATGAGGATTATCAAAGCATATGTCCAAATGCTAACTCTCTGTAGATATCTGTTGTATATATGGTTACAACTAACACTTGCCTGGTTCAGCCATGCCTTGTAACATTTTCTGTAATAGAACTTGTGTGCATGGTTTGTAATTTATTTACCTAACAGAAAAAAAATCCCAACTGATTTATTATAATTTATAATCCCAACTAATTGTAATAATTTATAATCTTAACCTATCTGAGAATTTAGCAGTATAGACTAGAAATTTTTTTTCTGTGTAATCTTCTGTTTTGGGGAAAGATCATCCTAAATTTGAGCTTACCTTTTTTCCAGTAAATAAAGTATATTCGACCATAATACACAACAGCAGGATAAATCTTCAGCACACATTAATCGTCCACACAATAGAAACATGCTCCTTACTTTGGAGGGGGCAGAATTTCCTGCAGTGATACTTGAGCATGTGGTTAATTATTCCTATGATATAAAGAGATATTTATTTACAACTCACTGATTACTCAGTAAGTCCATTTTGCCCTCCCAGCACTCTGTTAGCTATATCTGCTGGTTGAAGGCCCTAGTCTAACACCGTAATCACTACATCACACTGGCTGTTATTACTGGATAATAGTTCTTTATTTGGAACAAAATAAAGGAATTTCAAATTGTCAAGCAGTTAGACCTGTCTGTTGTTTGATGAGTTATTTAGAACTATATGTATATTTTTTTCTTAAACTCTGTTCCTCTGGCTATTTTTGAACCATCTTAATTGAAAACATTAGTTTAAATGAAAACTTTCTAGGAACAAAAAAGAACCTCTGCTTTCGAAAAATGTTCACCTTCTAGTTACACAGTTACTTGATTTCCTTCTTATAATGTTTCAAGCAGAAAAGTAAATCTCCTAAAATATGAGTTAAAATTTATAATTTCTCTGTTGAAAATTTACCCCTCCAGTCTGATGCCATAGGATGATCACTGTAGCTGATGCAAATCATTTATCTGGAGAGCAACCTCAGATCAAATGGCTTTATTTGTTGCTGCTATATATTTGGGAGATTGTGATCCTTTGACTTGGAAAAGAGTGAAATATTTTACAATATATACTATGGTTAAGTGGGAAGGGACCATTGTGCAAGGAGATGGTTAATCCTTCCTTCTGCATCTACCTTCTTGGTGGAAATTGCTTAATGTTGACCTCTTCTGCCCCCCCCCCCAGGATGACGTCACATCAAATTGGCTTAAAAGCCAGCCCATTCTCAGCTGTAAGCTTTAAGTTATGTCTATCAATACCCAAGCTAGTTGCTTATGATAAATATCTTTGCTGCTGCAGGTAGAGAATGACATAATGCTAAATTATTTAGTGTTGTTATTTCATGGCACGTTTCACTCTTGACTGATGGAGAAAATACAAGCAAGACTGGACCAGTTTGGTCCTTAAATGGGAGACGACTTAGCAATCCTAGGGTTGTGGGCTAGACTGCAAAATCCAAAAAAGGTACCAGAAAAAGGCCATAGAAAATTCCTCCCAAACTGTTGCCATGTAAACCACATGGATGTCTATGACTTGAAGCTTAAAGGAGACTTCACCTTATTGACCCCTATATATTTCTGTGCCAAGAACAATTTTAGTCATAGATTGATTTTGTAGCCTGAGCCTTTTAGAATGCTGAAGATACTTATTGGCCATCAATGCTTTAACTTCTGTGGAACACACTCCCAACTATTGGCATTTAGAATCACAGAATGCCATCCAGTTTGTAAATCATGATATGGCACCCCAATTCTACAACCCTTGTATTCCATTCTCTAGTGTTATTTCACTGCTTTTGTGATTCAATTTTTTTTAGCTAATCCCCTATGTGTCCCTGATGTTCCCTGAATTCTGCTGGTTTGTGGGATAAAGAGGCCCATTAGACCACTATGGAAGATGGCATGGATTCTTCAAGGGGAGGGAAATGCCAAAATTGTCTTCCTTCTTCATTTCACTGACAAAATATGCTTTTCGCATTTATTTACTTGGAAGAAAGTCCCAGAGGTCTAGGATTTGCTTCGGGATACACATGTTTAGTTTTCCATACTCACCGTTCAAGACTTGGACTTAAGTCTCATTTTCCTACAGTAATTTTCATACAGATGTATGAAACTGCAGCTACAGGGTTATATCCTTGGCCTCCTGGGATATGTTTTGAAGTTTCCAGTACAACCCTAGCCCTTGGATTTCCAGTAGTCTTCATCTAAGTACTATCTGGTCCAACCATATATTGAAAAATCAACCACTCAGTGACAGCTACCAGCCATGCCATGGAATGAGAGCACTGAATAATTTAGAGTAATATCACTGTCTACCTGCAGTAGGAAAGGTATTTCCCCTGAGTCATTAGCCAGGATGTTGATTGACATAATACATGAATAGCATTTGAGAGTGGGTTGCCTTTTAGATAAAGTTTAATATAATGATATGCTCACGGGGAGGGCAGCATTCAGTAATTCCCACCAAGATTGCAGATGCGATCTCCTGGCTCACAGGGGTTTCTTTTGAAAGTTGCCTACAGTTCTGCCTGCAATTTAAAAAACACAAACAAACAAGCAGGCAGCTTGCAAATCTTTCAGCAACTTAAAGAAGTTTTCCATTACCTGCTTAATCTCTCTGTCATTCTCTGGGACCTATTCAGTAACCACAGTCTGTTCTAAGTGATAATAATGAGGCAGGCTGAAACCATCATCAGTACCATTGCTACTTACCATCTGTAACTTCAGCTCAGCTCAGTTACACGTCTATTTGTTTCAGCTATAAGTCATATCCATTGATATAAATTTTTGTGATTAAAATTTTAAGGCAGCGTGATAAACAAGTACATAATAGAGACAGTCAGAACCATCTGTAAATTGCTCAGCACCTGTGATGCAAAAGAAAAATCTTTGATTAAAAAATGTAAACAAGGTTCTTAAAGTGGTATAAAAGAAGGGCCTGGAACATAAATGCATGCAAATAAATTTGTTGCTGCTATTCAGAACAGACTGTTTTGTGTCCTGTACTGGTTTAGCCAGTCCATGGTTTCTTGGTTTTCTGAACTTTAGGTCAGGTAACTGTCATAGTAATCAGAGGCTGTAGTTATTATACCGTATGCCTGCAGGGCACGAATGAATACAAAGATAGCGAGATTCAAAGCACATGAAGTGAGGAAACTCTTGGGATTTTATTCTAAGAACTATATATGAACATTGATAAAACTCACTGCTAGAACAGGTCTTCACAACAAGTAACCGAGCTGAGCTGGACCAAGCTGAGTGTACCAAGTTCTTAACAAATATTTTTTAATTGTTGTTATTTTACACCTAACTGGAGAGATTACAGGTAGCAATACACAAACAAGTACAGGCCTCATTTACAAAGCGATGAACCAATAATTCCAGCTTAGTCTTTGCAAGCTCTTTTCCTACATTCAGAATAGAGATCTGCAATATAGAATTTCATAAAGTGATCACTGTCTGGTTTGTAGTATTGTTCAAAGCATTTGAATGAGATGCTTCACAATGCATAGAAAAATGACTAAAATACCTCTCTTTGAATCATTAAAGTAGCCATGGTTTTTCCAAGTTTGTCAGTGGTTTGGAAAGTTATTCTCAGCTATTGCTGCGTGTTTGTGCATGCATATTCACTTCCCATCACTGATACATGTGGAGCTCTATATAGCCATATCTGATCAACTTATATTGGTTTATTAACAACTGTGAGGCCTCTCAGTCAGTAATAACGTTTTGTGTTCAAAAATCTGCATACCCCATCATATTTTAATCTGAAAACAACAACAATAAGCTGGTCATTACAGAGATGGTTGAGGATTCACATTTTGTTGCAGTATACATTAATATTAGTGAAATAATGTTTCTGTTTTTTATCAAAAGGTATTACATGAACCTCCAATGTAGGCCCATGCTTCAGTGCCAAGAACAGTACACTCAGCAAGGCTTAACCATAGTGTTGTCTAAATACATAGAAAGGCATACAAAATTGGGTCACTCCTTATTACATGTTCAACACAACCTATGCTTTGTTATACAGGTTTAGCCTCAGAACAGAATTGTCCTTGTTTTAAAATGTAATGCCTGCCTCCAGCACTATATTTTCACAGAGAAGTTCACAGAATTTGTATTTTGTGTTTGGTGGAAAATCAAAATGCAAAATTTTACTGCATGCATTTATTTGGAGACCGTATATATTATCTGTCCAACAAAGGTATGAATCCTCAATTGAGAAAACTCAATACACGTAGTCCTCAGTTAGTGACTACCTCATTTAGCATCACTTTGCAATTATGATGGTGATGAAAAAGTAACTTTGCAACTAATCCTCATGTATACAATCTTTGCAAGTCTGTAAAGCAAAGAAAAGCTGAAGTAAAACCATAAGCACAGTCTTGATTTCACTTAGCCACCACTTCGCTTAATGATCAAATTGCCAGTCCCGATTGTGGTCACTAAATGAGGACTACCTGTATTAGAAGCAGACCCAGCAGCTGTTTCAGAAATTAAATATCATATCTAGTAAGATGAAAGGAGATAGTGAGATATATGATGGAAGAGATAATTTTTTGTGAGAGACATTATGTTTTCTATCATTATAAAGACACAAATGTTCATTGAATTTTCATGCCACTGAATGGATTCTTAGGAGAGAAAAGCGGTTTTTGGTTAGCTTTTAATGAGTTTTCTGCCCCAGGATAAAAAAAAAAAATCCTAATTACTTCCTGTCTTTTTCTTTTCTTTTAGTTGGCTATTAAACAATAACAAAAAACCCCATGTTTTTTGTTTTTTTAGTTTTCTTTTGTTTTTGTTTCTGCATTTTGGTCTATCACCGTAAATTAAATGATTGAAATGAATAAATGAAATGAATATTAGGTATGCAAAATAAGAATGCACTCTTTATTAATATTGTAGTTTCCTTATAAAAATTAAACTTACATAACTCACTTTTGTGTTACCTAACTGTGCTCCAGAACATGCAGCAGCATGAAAATATTCAGTGAGCCTACATGTCCACAATAAAAAATTGGAGAGGAATCTCATTTTATGTATGTCATGATATTTTCTATGCTCCCCCAAGAGCTTCTTCCTCTTTATAATATTAACAAAAATTTAACATGAAATTAACAAAATAATAATAATAATAATAATAATAATAATAGCATTAACCCTAGCTACTTCCTTTCAACCAGCACATCCACCCGACTCATTTATAATTCTAAGGATCCACACTTTGGCCATGTGACTATTGTATTATTTTTAAAGTTGTATAAAACAACTGTAGCTCTTTTTAGTTCTAGAATTAATTAAGTAACCATTTACATACTTACTTATTGAGCCTTATATATTTCCCAGATAAAAAAATCTAAGCAATTTACCCACCAATATTATAGTAACAGGATCAAAACATAATTTAATTACCACTAACAACTGTACAACAGTCAGTAGGTGCCCTTTTCCACGAGGGAATGAAATCCACATCATTCCCACAAAAACCATCCAGAAGAACCATTTCTTGATGGGTTTCAGAATCCTAATAAATTTGGAGCTGCCCTAATCTCTGTGGCTTTGATGTTCCAGAGAAGGGGTCAGCAATTGGTCCCTGATAACAACAATGCCTAGGGATCAGGAGCCGGAGCAAGTTTTCACTTCCAGAATGGCAGATTCCACTCTCAGCTGGCAGTCTGGCAGATAATGAACCCAGGTAATGAACCATGTAGGGCTTTAAAGGTGCACCTTGAATTGCACCCAGAAGCCACCTGGCAACCACTGCAGCTCTCCATGTAGAAGTGTCACATGGACAAATCAAATTCCACCCATAACTACGTGAGCCACTGCATTCTGGACCAGTTGTGGCATGTAAACCTGACTTCAGCATAGCTGTTGCTGTCACTGTCACTTTCCAAACCCTCAGAACCAGTCTGATGATCCTCAGGGTTATTTCTCACTGTTATTGTTCCAGATGAAACTTGTGCACCCAGGCAGTCACAATAGCATCAGTATTTTGTATTAGAACTGTTCTTTTTAAATGTCCTAATTTAAACATAGAAAATTACCACACTTATCTAAAAAGACGACTGAATTTAAGGTGAACCACTATAAAGAGAATACTGCTTATAAATGCTTACACTCAAATTCTGTTCACTGCCCAACTTCCCTCACCTTGTCATCTAGAGTTCCCAGTTCCCAGCGAAAGAGTTTGTGTGCATATGTCACAGTTGTGTGGGTATCTATATTTATATCTATGCATTCCAATAAAAGACATAGACAAGCCAAAACATAATATTAATTAATGACTATTGAGTAAAATTAATTTAACCCCACTTTTAACATTAATCTATTCTCCCATCTACATTTACACAAAACATTCTCTCCCACACAAATTTACACACCACTCACACACTCACAGAGAAAAACTTTAAAAAACTGGACTGAAAAAGTATAAACCCATATATGCTTACTCTGCAGTAAATCCCAATGAGTTTAAGAATGCTTAATCTCTTAATCTCAGGTGAGCATTCCTGGGCTGCTTCTCTGGAAACTGGGGAGGAAACTGCAGAAAAGCTTCTTTTGGTATTGGGCTGTTTTGTTTTGTTTTTCCCCCTTTTTGCATAAAAAGAAATGGGTTGACGAATCTTTTGTGTTGGGCTGTAACTGAAGAAAACTACATGGACTTATTTTGTAGGAAGTCCCATTAAGTTCATTGGCTATTACTCCCAGATACATATGCTTAGGGCTTTTACTGCTACTAAGTCAATATGCTAAACCTGGCCCTGTCTCTTTCCTTCTGCTTGTAAAGAATGAATGTCTGCAATAGAGAGCCTATTTATCTTTTGAGACTCTCCATCTATTGAGATCATGACATTTACGGAGTTCTCATTTGCTGTGAAAAGTCTCCATGGGAAGAGAAAGCTCTCCATTGCAGTCACCCTCTACACATAGAAAACAAAAAACCAGGCTAGTAGGTGTCACTTGTCCTCTTGAAGCAGTGGCTTGCCTTCCTTTCAGCCACAGTAATATCCTCCTCTATTATTGTAATTACTATGCTCTCTTTCTCTCGTGCACATGCATGCACATGAAGTCACAGGTAATTGTTTGGGGGAAACCTGGCTGTTTGAGTCTGAGTATTACTGATTCAGTTCAGTTGTACTGTATTGAAAAGTCCAGCTATTTTATAGAAATTCAAGTGAAATCAGTAACAGCAGGTACTGCCCTATGGTGATATAGAAATATAGAATACGGAAACAGAAATCAAATGTAAGGGGAAATGAGAAGAGGTAGAACTGGCAGTGTTATCCAATTTCTGTGACTTGGATGATGAAAGAGGGACAATATTCTAAATAAATGAACATGCACACAAATCTAATAATTGTGCTCGGTATAGTAGCAATCACCTGTGGAAGGATAGCTGTGATTTTGGTCTACAAGATTTGGGGGTAGAAATAAGGTGGGAGGTATTCTTTCCCACGTACTAATTTTATCTCTCTACCACCACCACCCCACACACACACAATGAAAATATCATTAGATACTAAACAACAATCAAACTTTCAAGGACCTCCTATGAGTCACTATGACTCAAGCCTAAAACTAATTGCATGTAAAACCTTATTAAATCAAGGATTAATGTGAAGGTATCATGACTGTTCAAAACCTTGCAAAACCTGTGCCATTATGACATCTGGTTTTAATCACATTTAAAAAGCAATACATTTTTATTTTAAATGCTGATATTATGGAAAATCCAGGTAGAATTTAAAGTTTGTTTCACTATTGTACAATCTTATCTGCTTGTCTGTAAAGTATACCTGCCTGTGAATGTCTGCACTGCTCAACTTTCTGTTTTGTGCTGTTCAGTTTCCGCAGGTTTACCCGGTCAAATAGTGTTACAACAGCTGTTCAGGCAGACATGGATTTCCATGAGAACTTTGAAATGTCCATGGACCCTCAAGAAGATCAATCATATCCTGGGCCAATGTCAAGACAATATTCTCGAGATATCAGCACTTCCACTGTTAGCATACAGGGCTCAGGAAACCATTATCATGCATGTGCGGTAGATGATGACTTTGACACTGATTTTGATCCTTCCATTTTACCTCCACCGGATCCTTGGATTGATTCTATAACTGAAGATCCAATTGAAGCTGTTCAAAGGTCAGTGTGCCATAGAGATGGACACTGGTTCCTGAAGCTTCTTCAAGCAGAGAGAGAGCGTATGGAAGGTTGGTGCCAACAAATGGAGAGAGAAGAACAAGAAAATCATCTTCCAGAAGAAAGTAAGTAATTCCAGTGCTAACAAGAGAAGATATCTTTATTTTGTCATCTTTTACATCAAAATCTAAAGATTGGGAAACCAATACCACTTGTAATTTCTCAAGATATTTCTCCGTCAAAAGTACCACAAAAATCATTGTGCCAGTAGCATCCATAGCAAATTGAAGTGACACCAAAATGACAACCAGTGTGTGGTGGCCTCATTACAAATGCACCTTTACATTCTTGCATCCTGACATCTGACACAAAGTCACAGCATTTGCCTGACTATACAGATTTTGTCATTTGCCCCCCCCCCCCACCTTGCCTGCAGACTCCCATATATGTTATTACTTTTTTGCATTCACTTCACAATATTAGATTATCAGGAAAAATGTAGCACCTGTCAGGGACACCTTAAAGCAACTGTTCCCTTTTTGGGGCTGGTGTGATAGCCCTCTGCATCTTGCACCAGGAAAGATGCATTGCATTCCCAAGAGCTGCTTCAGTCCATGCACACTCTGAATAACATTTTACCCTTTAAATGCAAAGTCCTAATACAGAACCTTCTTTCTTCCATTTTTTCCCCCACAACTGCAACAGTGAGCTTCCATAGCTAAGAATATCTTTGAATAGGATCTTCCTAGACTTAGTCATTGTCTTCTTCTTGATTGTGCTTGTGGTGGTAGTTGTTATATTACTTCATCTGACCTGTGCTTATCCACTCTGTCTTAATCACTACATCACATTGATGTTTACGGTAACTTGCAGAGGCTGAAATTTTCTCAGTATCTTGGCAGCTGAGAGAGTGGATGTTCTCCCATCCCACCTCGAAGCTAGGAGTAATACGATACAAGTTTTTCTAGACAATGCCTCCTTGTGTACAACAGCTGTCTGGAGGAGATGGCTTAGGGCGGCTTGACAGGGTCTTGTGTGCTACATAGACATGTTTGGTATTATCTTGCAGCGAAATAAACTGTCACAGTGAAAAGAGTGTTTCCAGTTATGAATGCAATTTGTTGTTGCTGCTGCCGCTGCTGCTGCATATAAAACAAGTTGTAATGTCAGTGGCTGAGTTAAGAACATCTGGAGATAGTTCTTTAGTTAATTATGCACATGTTTTATTACATCAAAGTTTTGTTAGTTTCCTCTGAAACCGTTTTTTTCATAATAGTGATAACTAGCTTATTAAAGCCAGGCCTCTCTGTATTAATGGTTGAGCATAGGTGGTGCTGATGATCAACATCAAACTGCCAATTCTGCATAGAAACACACATGCACCACAGAAATTGTGTCTGTGATTAAGTTTTAGAAAAGACATTTTGATCCAGGAGATTGCACACAATGCCAGTAGCTAAACAGATATGTCCCTTTTTTAAAAAAAAGTCTCTGCTATCAGTAGATTATTAAAAAAACAAGAGCAGGGTGGGAGTGGAAGCTGAAACTAGCTGAAAGAAACTCCTGTCTGAAACCATGAAGACAGTACTGGACAACAAACTGATTACATTTCAATTTGATTTGATTGGTGTATCTACTGTTAGCTCTTCAACTGGATTTTGCTCACTGCACTTGTTTATTGGCCCATTTTCCTTTAGAACATGGACACCTACTTCTAAGAATGGGCAACTCAGTGGAATAGATGTTTATGTCCTTTCTTTCCTCCCACCCAAACAACTAACATGGTACTTTAGCTGAATGCTTAATTTTACTTCTACATGCACCAGATTGAGTGATTATCTATAAACAAGGACAAGCTTATCAGTGAAAGCCTCAGAATGGGAAGAATCTCTCCAGAATGGGCTGTGATTATTGATAAAATGATGGTTTAAGAATAAGCAGGTTCTTTCATTTTGTCTTCTAAGCGTATGCTTCAGTCAGCTGATGTGTAAGAAATCAGCAGCTAAAATAGGTATAAGGCAGGACTGCAGTAGGCTTTGGGTTAGATCAGTAACCAACAGGAACCCATAGCAATGTCCATTCAAAGATTTATAAATGATTAGCATTATTTTTGGAGCTGATTACATGTTTTTGGGCTGGGTATTAATGGAATTAAAATCTGACATATCTGGAGAGCTCAAATTTGGGGAAGACTGCTATAAGAAGTAGGTATAAGAAGTGTGAAGGCATGTGCTTTGCATGCCAAACATCCAAGGTTCACTGTCTGGTATCACCGGATAGAGTTGAAAGAGCCTCCTGTCTGAAACCATGAAGACAGTACTGCACTGAAAACCATACTGAGCCAGAGGGACTGTCTGACTCAATACAGAACAACTTCAGCATTCATCTCACAGTCATCTGAGAATTTGTCTTAGATCACCAAATACCTGAGAGGGGAAGAGTCAACATGTTCTATTTTCCTCAACCTTCTTCCCCCACAAAGTACTGGAATTTTATAGAATACTATTTTAATAAGGATTATTTTGCTATAGTTCAATATTGCATCATGAAACAATTTCAAGCAACTTCTTGAATCACCCAAGCAATTTTTGGCTTTGTGCAAAATTCTCCTCTAATGCACAGCTGGGAGACCATCTCCCTTCTATTTCCCTTACCCTTCCTTTCAATTCTTGAAATGCCTTGTGAAATGTTAGATGGCCCAGCTCCAGCTGAGGCAGCTGTTCTGAAGCCGATGCAGTGGGAAGGGTTCTCATAACAATGGGGACCACATGAAAGCTCTCCGATTAACTCCTCCCCCCTATTGAAGGCTTCTTTCACTTGAGTGGTTTGCACATTAGTATGAATAAAAGACTAGACACACCAAGGGGTACATTTTCAGCACAGTGCCTAGGGAATTAGACACGCAACCCTTGCAAACAACAATGGGAAAATGGCAGTTATGTGTAGAATTCCCTGTGCTGTGCAGTGTGAATTTACATTTCTGTCTTCACAGTTGTTTCCTCTTGGTGTCGATGTCTAAAATTAGGGAGAAAACTCTGCTTGCTTTTGCCTGGGTTCTTTCCAGGACCTCCAGAGGAAAGGATATAATAATCTACCTACTAATGCTGAGCATATATATATACACTGGGCATATGTTTACTCAGAAATAAGGCCCATTGATTTTCATTCAGTGAAACTTACTCCCCAGTTAGAATATGTAAGACTGCCCCCTTAGTGTTTTATGTTTTGTTGGATTGTTTAGGATATTTTAATATTTTCAAAAATAATTTTATTTAATTTGACATGGAGGGAATATTCATATGTGTCATGGTGCCCACAGGTGCCTCATATCTGATTTGTTTTATGTGATGGTCCTCAGATGTTATCAACAATAGTTGTCATGGCCATCATAAAAAAAAAGGCTGGGAACTGCTGGAGTGGGGATCATATCTGTGATAAAAATCATCCCCCAATACTTTATCATCTTAAACATCTCAGCACACACTCTGAGTGAAGAAGCCTAGGATCTCACAAGAAATTCTAGAGCCCATCTATGAACCTGTGCTCAACTGCCACCAATACAAGTGTACGATTTTAGAATTGTGCTGAAACTTTTGCAGCTAGGACATATCTCCCACTGAATTCAGTTTCCAAGGACATCTAAAAATATTTTGTTCTGTGAAACTTGGAACATTTGTGCAAGCTTCTCAGATCTGAGTACAAATGCTTTTGAGATTTCTCTTAAATCTCATTTAAATTTGAGGAATATTGTTTTCAACTTCTGAATGACCATGAAAATCTAAGTATAGGATAAGATGCAGGGGGTTATAAATGGAGGAGAGTTTCCAGGTATAAAATGGCATGGAGCAATTTAGGATCCAAGCCACTGGGCCTTCTATATGTTCACAACTCACAGTCTCCTAGATACATTTGCCTTTTCAGTGGCTTAGAGATGTGTTTAACTTGGCACTGTATAACTTGCTACTTTACAGAAGTCCATGTGTTTGGCCAATGCCAAACCAAACATATGTTGCCTATAGGGAACTCAGCAGAGATTCAGTTTTGATTAAATATTTTGCATTCTTCAGACTATTACTGTACTACTTCAATGACAAAAAGCAGAAGTGTACATTAACACGTGGATCTCTGGATGTTGTTGAGCTGCAATTCCTATCATCCCTCATTTGACAAGCAGCACAGCTGAAAAAAAAATCGGCACATGTGAGAAGAATGTGTTATCTATAGGATTAATTTTAAAGTATACAGGCCAAGTTGAAACACAATCTTGGTTATTTTGTTAATGTGACAGTTTTAATTGCTTTTGCATTCCTCCTTTTGCTAAGTGGTGTATCTGTTGGAGGGAGTTTCAATGACTGGGAATGTATGTTCACTTTTAAAATGATCCGTGGGTTTTTAGTAATAGCATTTGGAAATGGTTGGCAATCTTTTCTTGCATTCCCTTGATAGAAATCTGTTAGCACCATATATCAATGGTGGGCTGGGCTTAAGCAAACAGTAGACATGGAAGTGCCAGAAGTGGGTGGCACTACACGTTTACTCACTTTCTGATATTCCCTTCCTCCCTCCGTTTCTCTTTCTGACACTCCATTCTCTTTTTCTAGCTCTCACTCACTCTCACATAGCAGAGGGGGAAAAATATTCTTGCCATAGATGTTAATGGATAGCTTGCAGACAGCTTTGAAATTAGGCCACAGGCCACCCTACGATTGTGCTTCGCTCACTCCTGAATTAGATCTCTATCTGGCTTTGTAACAATGGAGAGATTTCCACCATGCTGTTCTCATGCTTTGATTTCTTTTTAAGTTTTAGGTAAAATTCGAACTGCAGTTGGTAGTGCCCAGCTTCTCATGGCTCAGAAATTTTACCAGTTCAGAGAACTGTGTGAAGAAAATCTGGTATGTAACATGTATTATGGACACATAATATAGGGTTTTTTATTACTTGTATCCAAAAAATATTTCAGTGCCTGAAGCAGAATTGTGTATAATGCCCCTATGTCTCTTCCCATAACTCAGAATGCAGGTATCCAAGGCTGGCCAAAATATTTTGATATCTGAGAAATAAAATCTTACAAGCACCTCTTCCAAGAAATTAAAAACAAACCCATGAAAAATAAATTAGAGAAGTGAGTTTATAACATTTTACTTGTAGGCCTGCTTCACGGTATTTCTTTCCCATTCTAACATATCACAGCATGGAACAGAAACTTACATTTAATTTAACCAAAGGTATGCTGTCTAGGATACAGATGAAGTGGAGCTGTACCAAAAAATGGATTTAACAAAATATTGATTTGAGAAATTCTTGAAAGCCCAGGAATGTGCCAGAATCTGTTGACCTTCTACTTCTGTAATATGCAGTAACAGAAACATGTCCCGTAGACACTATCCATAGACATTATCTCAGCACATTGCTGCCAAAACATTCATTCCAAAGTAGGGTTGTTCCAACAACCTTTCCCCTAAACGTTTAGCCAATTTACAGCCTAATCCTATCCATATTGGTTCTGCTGAAATTCTATTAAATGTGTAAGATTCCCCCATTGCCTCAGTGCATGATAGCTTAGTTAGTTCAATCAACTAGTATTGCTATTCCAGATGAATCAGATACAATAGGGCAGCCAACGTTATTAGAAATAAAAAGCAAACCTCTACTTGACCTTTTCAAGGACTTTGAAGTTTTTCATGCTTTTTCCCATTTTTTCTCTCATACAGAATCCCAATGCACATCCGAGACCGGCCTCCCAAGATTTAGCAGGGTTTTGGGATATGCTGCAGTTGTCCATAGAAAATATTAGTATGAAATTTGATGAACTTCATCAGTTAAAGGCCAATAATTGGAAACAGATGGATCTACATGACAAGAAGGTAGAACATTGTCGATTTTGTATGCTTCATTTAAAACCCTGCACAAATACTGGACAGATTAAATAGGCCTCTGCATACATCATTGATGTTAAAAACATGAAATGGATTTCATATCAGATTAATTCCATTGTAAAAGAAAAGAAAATGTTTACGTAAGAATCACCTGGAATATTATCTGTAATATGTTCAGGCATATTTTTAAGGCAAACTTGTTTATGTGAACAATGGGAATGTGCTCATTTGTCTTATTATACTTAACGTATAATCATATTAGATAATCAACTGTTAGAAGGAATTGCCTCATATATTGATTCTTACAATTAAAATAAATATAGAGAGTACACAGTGCTGCCTAGTGTAAGAGTTCTGTTTACTAATGCACTATGAAATGTATAAGTAAACTAGGGAAGTACTGTAATCATCACTGACTTGGTAACCAGCCCCATTCCCATGGATAAATGTATGGGTATTTTCCAATCAAGCCATCATAAATATTACATGGAAAATCTCTTGCGTCATTACTTTAGTTGCTTTATTTTGAGGGAGACCTCTTAGGTGGTTTCTCCTCTTTTATTTCATTCAGTAGGTTCTAGCTCTAAAACACTAAATAGGATGGTAAATCAAGGTTCAATTTTCTTTCCTAGAGTAATTTGGATTTTAGTAATTTTTAGTGTGCTTTGGCACATTGTTTTCAGCACTGGTGTCACAAGTAGTTATTGGTTAAAATGTAGTACATCCATTGTTTCCCTACAGATCAGTAAGCATTTTAAAACTCAGATGTATGCCATCAATAATAACAATCAAAAATATACAAATTGACAGGTAGAATGGAAATATGAAAACTTGCATGTAAACATTTTTCTTTTCCAGGACCCAAAATTGGGAGGGGAGGGGAGGGGAGGGGAGGACAGGACAGGACAGGACAGGACAGGACAGGACAGGACATTAGGAAGAAAAAACAAAACACTTCTGAAATATTTTCTCCCACTATGAAATGTAAAAATGTAGATCATATTTAGATGAGGTAGTTTAATATATTTCTACCCTGCTGCCCTTAGTAATATATCTACCCATAAAATTAAAATGGAGACTAATCTAGCAGAGTAATGGGAAGTTTATTTCAATGAGTCAAAAAAAAAAAAATTCCACAGCAAAGAGAAATTCAATGTCACAACCACTGATCTAATCAAAAACTTCTAAGGTCCATGCCTTTTATAAGGAAAAGCACAAATTCAGTTTCATGCACATTAAAAGAAATTGAAAAGGAGGGGCAAAGCATTCCCCTTACTCCTGTTTGTTTAGGACATTTGAAGCTGTTCTCAGTGTTGGTTATACTCTGACCTATTCTGCCTATAATTATTTCATGTGTTATTTTTAAGCCAAAGGATAATGATGAGAGAATAAATGCTTTAGATGTTTCATTTTTTTTCCAAGAGACATTTTTTCTTCAAAATAATTGGGATTTCATTCCATAACATCAGTATTTTCAGTATTTTTGTTCAGTTAGCCATAGGAACATGTAAAAAGTCCAGGGAAAAGAATGGGCTTGTTGAACCATTCTTGCATGTATCGTGCCTCACACAGGAACCTTAACTAGTTCTGAACTGACCAAAAAATACTGCATGATTAAGACAAGTAAAATAATTGTTTACCTATAAATGCTCAGTAAGGAAAAGCATGAAGCCATCTGGTTTAGATAACATTCTGAGAAAATCATGTACTTGCTTGTTTGCTTGTCCCAAACCAAAATATTGATAAGTGATTACCTCTCTAAGTTCCACAAGACACCAGTTCTAAGATGAAAATTTTTGGTGATCCTAAAACACCCTATATTTTTATTAGATGTTACGATACCTAAATAGGTCAAAGTTTTCTTGCTAGCATAAGAAACCAATACTTTAATGATAAACTCAGCAAAAGGAGAAAATTAAACAAAACAAAAAACCAGGATGGTTTGACAACCTGTAATGAAAGAATATATTCTGTGGTTCATAGTTACCAAGTGTGGCTACGTTAATATTTAAATTAAGCTGTTTGTTTTCCCTATTTAAGCAAAAGATGAAAATATCTGTGAAACTGTTTTTATATTTGTGCTTGTTATCCTTCATCCTAAACTTGGGTAAACAGCATAGTTCATTCTTTGCATGCAGAACGAATGTCATGTTTCAAACAAATTCATTTCCATTAACACAAGCAGCAAACAGCTGTTTTGATCAACAATAAGAAAATGATAAATTATAATGACACTCATGGAGCATAATGCAATGAATAATCCCTTTAGGAATCATTATCAAAATGGAATACCATATAATTTTTAGAAAACTAGAGACTACAGATATATATTTTGGATTAGAACGGTGCAGCAATCCAGATTCGAAGGGGAAAAGGTGAACTGGAACACATCGGGCACTAATGTAACATCTGTTGGCATCTCTTTAAAGAAGCTGCATCTTTTCCTGAGCTCCCACAGCTACTATCATGCAATCCCAGGAATTGTGCATTTAATTTATGGAAGCATACACATGTATGGCTCCCGCATTCCTTTCCCCTTCACATCCAGATTGCTGCCCAGCCCTAGTTTGGATCCTAGATGTAAAGTCTAGATGTAATATACCCACATTCTCTCTCTCTCTCTTTCTCCCTCTCATTCTCTCTCTTTCTATATATGTATATGATATATTGATATATATCATGTGGATATATACAGATCTGTTCCTTATTAACTATGATATCTTTAGATGCCAAAGTGATGATTAATGTATGTTCTCAGAATTATTTTTAAGTAACCCCTCCCACCCACTTTTGAATTTGTAATTGAATTCAATTTGTAGATTGTTGACTCTGATGCTATACTTTTAAGAAGCACATTGCACCCCAAAGTATGCAATGTTACCATGGCCAGTCACCACCAACCATATGTTCTTTTTCATTTTGTTTTCAAATTTTGCTGTGATAACTAACCTCAGGCTGCTAGTTCATATGACTGTGAAATATATCCATAAGTCTTCAGTGTTGTAAGCCCATTTAGTCTTGTGTATGTATATTGTATATAAGGGGTCAATGCTCATTATCTGTGTCTTTCATTTCTATTACATACTATTCTATTATGCTGAGTTAATTTATTAAGAACACCCAAGAGTTTTATTAATAATTAGGTGGCAGGTGATATTAATTACAATGTGACTTTCTAAGATTATAGAATTATGACATTGTATTAAGCGGCAGTACTAAAAATGCTCTCCTTTCTAATTCCGGGTATCCAGAAGAGGAATTTAAATTGCACAGCAGGAACTGCATACAATATTTAATGGTGGGAGCTTCATCCCTTTGAGCCTCAGACGGGTAGCTGACACGACGTGTCCATGGAGAACTAGCACTGCTATCAATGCCATCCTTTTTGGCCTTAAGATTATGTTCTTTTTTTAAGTCTTTGAATACCAGTTCAATGAAGATAAAGTGAGTTAACTTTAGGTAAACAAGTATCTTCTAACCACTGACTTGTCCTAGTTTGTTTGTCTCCCCCACCTGCCCTTTCTTTAAATTTTTCCCCTGAGAAGCTGTATAATGTCATTAACCTTCTGCTTTGATCAGGAGAGAAGGGCCCCTCCTCCAGTGCCAAAGAAGCCTTCGAAAGGTCAGGTGCCACTCATTCGGGAACGCTCTTTGGAGAGCTCACAGCGTCAGGAGGCCCGGAAACGGCTGATGGCTGCCAAACGAGCTGCATCGGTTCGTCAGAACTCAGCCACTGAAAGCGCCGAAAGCATTGAGATTTACATCCCCGAAGCCCAGACCAGGCTATGAAGGGATCCAACCAGGAGGACTGTTAATGGCAAGAAACATCTCTTGTATAATTTGCCCTAGGTCCATGCTCAGAGATACCAATATGTACTTGTATTTCTCACCTCTTCCTTTTATCTCTCTCTTCTCTCCCAATGAATTAACACTTCTGTGGTGTAACTGTCAATTCTCCAAGAGGGTTTTGCTAACATCTCTTGCTTTCTAAAGGTTTGCCCATGTCAACCTAGTGCTTTGCCATATGTACTGATGCTGCCCACCTTGCCTCTTGTAAAGAATCCCATGCGCCCACAAATAACATCTCTCTTCCTTTCTGTCTCATGTACACACATGTATGCGCACGCGCACACACACACACACACACACACAGACCTGTACAGTAGATGCACCAATTTATTCATCCTTGGTCCTTAAAGGTAGTCTGTTATCTAGTGTACAGCAATATTCCATTATTTGGTATTTTGGAAATCCAGTATTGCAGGGTAATACCTTTAGGATTCTGTTGTCTTCCTCATTGATAGTGAATGGAGCTTGGGCTCAGAATCCCTTCTTTATATGACTATTTTTTATTTTATTTTATTTTTTAGAAAAGAGACACATATGATTTTGATCTTTCAAGATAATCCTTTTCATCTGTCATTCTGGAAGGAGATGGGGAGATAGGTATATTGCAGTAAAAGTTCAAATGAGTCATGGAGATGAAATGTCCGCCATTCCATGAAAAGACTAGCAGCTGCACAAACTGCCTCACTTTATTTCCTCAAAGTCAACTTAGAATCTTTTTGATCAGGAGAAGACTGTAAAATCTATCTTCCAAGGTAGTAATATTTTTAAGGCAATAAAAAGAAAGCTTAGGAGATGAATTAAAAAGATGACTGATAATTGGATTAGAGTATTTTCATCCAAACAATTAGTAAGAATTTTTAACATTGTACTATATTGTCATTTCCTATTACAATGTATGCATTTTAAAGGGGAAAATCAATTGATGATTTCCTAACCTTGATGAGCTTTCAGATTTTGCACATCTCCACACAGCTGTTTGTTACTAAAATGCTGTAAATGAAATACATGTTGTACACTACTCATGACTGTTGATATCAAGTGTTTAATACTTTCCCCTTTGGTCTCCTCTTTAAAATAGGAATACCTTTCTTTACAAAACTGTTTTAAAATATGTAGTCTACACATAATGCTAGATTGTTTGGAAACAAGACTGATAAACAACAGGGCTATGCAGAGCTTCGGAAATAATTTCAAAAAGGTGCTTCAGAGCACTTGGGAGGACCAACATAGAACTTGTTTATGACTCTTTAAAGCAGCCATGTCTTTTCCTAGGATCATGTAGCTGTCTCCAGACTTGGCAACATAAAACACCTTTTTTGGAACCATATATGAAGCACTGCTTAGCTGTAATAAGGAATTCTCTGGCATAGGACTGTGGAAAGCAATCTGACTAAACTGTCACACTAGCAGAAAGCATGATGATTTGACAAGGACCACAGTTTTAAGGAAAGTGCATGTTTAAGGCACTAGAGAATTAACAGTTCATGTCCTAATGGAGGTGTTGGGTTCATTTGCAAGGCTTGGTCTACATTCTGTTGCCAAAATCATGGGTAAGACTAAAAAAACTCAATAGATTATAGTTCTGGACTATATGTCCCTTTTTTAGTTGTATCCTCCCAAGTGACATGGGCAAAGAATTGTGGCTCATTTCTTATTTGAAAATTTAACTTCACCCATATTGGCATCCATGTTGAGTATGGAAAACGGTATTTGCTGACAAGATCAAGGAAGAACTTTAAAGAAGTGATCCAGTGCTAATGAAATACACTGACTGACTGACTGATTTGTATTCTATGTATTATCAAAGCTGGCTTTCAGTTCTCTTAAGGTTAAAACTTTCCAAATACGGAACTCTTAACTGGTTGAGTAGTAAAATTACATAGTTCAATCTCACAGTGATAGAATTACCACTCAAAAGCTGGCTTTTTGTTTTGTGCCTTTTTTCTTTGAGAATATATATCTATAGATCATGCCAGAACATGTTGTAATAATACAGCATCATTGTTAGGCGCTCTTTTTTTTCCAAGAACCTGGGAGAGGTAACAGGTATGGAAATCTTAGAATAAAATGTAAAATCACTAGAAAATTTGCTACCTCTCAAAGCCATTGATATATCCAAGCTATACACTTATAAACAGGGCACAAAATATCACTGCTGTGTTTTACAAGTAAAGGGCTAATACTTTCATATTTTAAAGACTTTTAAAGACAAGGATGAAAAATCCAGTGTTAACTCAAAACAGAAAGTCTGACTTGCAACATTTGAATTGTATTATGTTAAGAACGTTTTGCTTTACTCTATAGCCTCTTTTTAAAATTTGAAGGCTTACACGTTGTTTGCAGTCTATATAGTATCAGTAGCCACCTTGAAATATAGACATGTTTTTAAAAATTGGGCTCTTCGTACACAGATGCGCAAAACTTGTCAAACAGATAAATTTTCAGAACTATATTATTTCCGCAGTATTTGAATCCCACGAAAAAAGGTTTAACACTAGCTGAAATGCTGCTTGAAAAAAATTGTGTTAAGATAAGGCAATATATCAGTGTCATATACCACATGATTACAAACAATGATGTACTACAAAGTAGCTGATTGTTTTATTTGGATTTTCACTTGGGAAAAAATGGAGAGGATCACAACTTAATTTTATATTTTAGGAGAGATGTATTTGCACATCATAACTTAAAGGAATCTGTTAACATGATGCCTGATTATTCATTTGGGTTTGATGTAGACAAAACAATTATATCTTCTAATAAATTCCCAGAAAAATGCAGAAGACATGAGGATTTTGAACATCTGCATGCGATATGAGGATGTGGTCTAATTTGAGGAACTGCAATCCTGCGGTGGACAGTAGTGCCACCCAGATTACTCTTTGGCACTGCAAGTCTATAAATCAAACTACTGCTTTACTCTGGTTACCTCTTGCTGACCTTTTATCCATACAGAGCAAAAAGAAAAAAACACTTTCAAATCATTAGTTTCTGCAGGGAAGCTAAGCACGTGCTCAGATTTCTTCCACTGAAATCAGTGTGAATTAGAAACTCTAATTGGCTAAATTGTATCTTGTATTATTTTAATTGAATTTGTAGGGCTTATTTTATTCAAATTCCCAAATCTGTACAAAAAAGGTGCAATCAATGTTTTAAAGTACAATTGGGGTTGGGGGGGGTATTAAAAAAAAAAGAGGTTGACCTCTTAAACCAAAAGTTTTAAAATATTTATTATATATATTTTTGCAGATCTTTCCATAAAATATCTTTAACAGTGCAATTCAATGCAAGTCTACTTAGATGTAAGTGCCACTGAGTGAAACAGAGTTTACTTCCACTCAATATGGTTTAACACCTTTTCCCAACCTGGTGCCTTCAGATATTTTGGAGTTACTTCTAGATCTTTTAGTAATTCCAAGCACATTAGGCCAACCCATCTCGATGGTGCCAAATTGGGGAAGCCTGGCAGGATTACAGGTTTAGACTGTAATTAATCTGGGAGTAATCTCATTTAGCCTGAGCCTTACTTCTGAGTAGACACACATAAGAGTGCACTGTTGTTCTTTTTGTAATGAGAGATAAAGAAAAAGATTAAACATTTTAATATGAAAAAAGTAAATGCTAGTATCTTATTTATAATATATTTCCATTTATTTATTGGGTGTCCCCTTAATGTTTTGTTATGCACTATCACTTTAATTTGGATTTTATATTTATGAATTTACAGTTCATTTTTTTAAAGTTATAATGCATAGTTTTACTAGAATGTGAATCAGAATCAGTGACATAGATGCATTCTAGATGCATTCCCAGTCAGGATAATCCGGGTTTTTTTTTTGTTTTTTCCTTTTTTTGCAAAACTGCTACAGTTTGAAAAACTTTAGATGGAAGGCTGGAGAGCATTATATGGCATTTTGAATTAGTTTTTCATAGGATTATCTACCTATCTGGTATGTGGACACACAAAAAAATGTAAATAGATTAATGTTTCCCGTAATGTAAAAAGAGCAAATTAATAAAATAAATAATGCACTGCTTGTAAGAGCTGTGGCTTTTCAATACAAATTTTTATTCCCTTTTTGCCAAAAAAAAAATAAAATGCTTTTGATGTGATTGTATGATGTCTGGAGCAAAAAACAGCTCTTCTGGGTAACTACAGGATAGAATGTTAGACTGACTCTGCAAAGACTTATATGAACATTTGTTCTCACACCATCCTTGCTAATCCTTGGGAAAACAGATCCTGATAGATAGATAGATAGATAGATAGATAGATAGATAGATAGATAGATAGATAGATAGATAGATGTTTTTGCTGAATTATTTCAGATGTTCTTTTAGTAGTGATGAGATAATCATCTATGAGCATCAAAATACCAGGGTAAAGGTGCCCAATACAACTAAGAATCCTTCTCTTCTAGCTTGGTTGGTTGGTTGTTGGTAGCACTACTAGGTATATGTTAAAAGTCATCAAAAATATTTGGCAAAACAGTTCATTCAGGGTTGGGTTTTTTTTTTTTTTTTTTTTTTTTGCCATATGGAGTAGCCTCCATTTTTTTTTTTATTAGTTTTCACATTTTCATTCTCCATACATCATTTACTCAAAAGTCATCAGAATTTTGGTTGTGAATTTTAAAATCCCCCTTTATGCATGAGTGAACCAATGTTTATGTAATCTAAGTTATTTATTAAATTGCTTATTTATTGGGCTCATATGCTACTCCACTCATAACTGACTGGCACATATACTTAATAATCAGATTAAAAACAAAATACATTTTAAAAAATCAAAATACCCCAGGTCTTGCTAACAACCAATCCCATGCAACATTCTTGCCAAAGGATGGACAACATATTAGACCTCACAGACATGCCAGAAAATCATCTTTATAGCTTTTTGGAATTCAGCCAGGTAGGGGCCAAACTGATCTCCAGGGCAA